CAGGGAAAAGACCTTTGCCATTCACCTTATCTATGCTCCTCTTGATTTTACATGGTGAGGTGGATTAATATTTGTTTGCGTGTTGGAGGGTGGGAGTGACATGAAGGGCGTTGAATTGGAAAAAGTGGAAGGAAAGGATTTCCTTAAAAATAACACTCAAACCCCCCCCAGAAGTCAACACACGAGAAGCTCTCACATAGAATAGAAATTGCAGATTATTTTTCTGCCAATTTAGTTCATAATTGGATTTGTTTGAGAGACACTCCAGTTTCTTTATCAGAGTTAGTAAGAGGCATTGTTCAATTATTGTAACAGGAGTTCAGTGGTTTGACATTAGAAAGGTGACCTCTGCTGTGGGCACTGGCTTTTCCACAGGCCAGTGCCAATCTGTCATCTTGGCATTTCATGGAATGGATGTATCATAGAACCCCTACAGTGCGGAAACGGGCCATTCGGCCCAACAGGTCCACACCGCCCCTTCAAACAGCATTCCACCTCGACCCATCCCCCTACCCTTTCCCTGTAATCCTGCATTTCCCATGTCTAATCCACCAAACTCTCTCACTCCTGGAAACTACGGTCAATTTAGCGTGGCCAATCCACCTAACCTGCACATCTTTGGACTGTGGGAGGAAACCGGAGCACCCGGAGGGTACCCACGGAGACACTGGGACAGTGTGCAAACTGGGACTAGTTTAGTTTGGGATAATGTTCAGCAAGGACTGGTTGGACCAAAGGGTCTGTTTCCATGTTGTATAACTCTGACTCAATGGCAGCATGTTTCCACACCGACAGTCGCCCGAGGGTGGAATCGAACCTGGGTCGCTGGCGCTATGAGACTGTAGTGCTACCTTTCTTCCAGAATGAAGATTTCAGGAAGCTTACAATGGAGTGCAGATCTGCTGCTAGTAAGGCCTATCCACGACTGGCAGCTTCTCCCCAGTTGACTGCTGGGGACAATCGGATCCATCCTTTGCCTCTTCTGTGCTTCACTCAGACTCCAAGATGTCTGCTGCACTCTCCTTGTAACATCTCCAGGCAGCGGGTTATATGGTTTGCACTGGCGCACTGGCACACTGGCGATGGTTGACGTGGCACACAGAGAGGTGCTTCTTTAGGGAGTGTATGGAAATGTTTACATCGTTTGCCAGTGATCAAAACTCTCCATATAACACAGCCTTGGCCAGTCGATGGTCATCTGCATGGGCAGTGTGATCTGCCCAATGTAGTTGGCTTTGCAGGAGGATGGCCTTTGTTCTGAACATGCTGGGTATTTCCGCAGTGTCAGTGTTTGTGATACAGTCCCATCAGTGGAGGCTGAGGATGCTGCAGAGGCAACTCTGAGGCAGACACTCAGGGAGGTGTACACGGCCCATGGTTTAGTGCCATGTGGAGGGTGGTGAGGACTGCGGCTTTGCTGTTTGAGCTTGGTTTGTGCTCTGAGGCTGTACTCGTTCCACACTCACTTGCAGACTCCACCAAATGCACTATGGCATTTGCTTTTGAAAACCACTTCCTTGTCAATGGTGGCATTAAACGAGATGACACTCCCTAAGAAAGGAAACCGCTTGACAGCGTTCAGCTTGGATTCTCCAGATGACCGTGCTTGATGTCTAAATTCTTCTGGGAATGCAGGCTGATGAAGGACTTTGGTTTTCTTTAAACTGATTTTTTAATCCAAAGAGTTGTGCAGCTCCTGGAAAAATGTATTGCGACACGTGGCAGGTCTGACTGACTGTGGGTCAGGAGTTCACTGCAGGGTAGTTGATGGGTGAATGTTTTTCCTGTGTCTTGTGTGAGCTTGAAGATGCCTGAGCTGACCCCAGGTTAGACTGAGCCCAACTATTAAACACTTTTTTCCACAGCAGACGTTCACCAAGTGGTAAAGTAACTACAGCTCGTTGTGTCAGCTTCTTTTATCTGGCTTTCTGATGGAAGCTGTCTTAGGCTGGAAAGTTGGTAAGAAAATACAGATGGTCTGTAATGGGATAAAACTTGAGTTTGATGGTCACTCATTGAACTATTGAGTGAAAACACTAAAACAAGGGATGTGGTTTGAGTTTTTGGAATAATGCTGAGACTGGATGAGAGGCCATTTTGTTTAATATCAGGGGAGCAGGACCATATACTCTGATTTGAAGAGGCCAAAAATTAAGCTGATAAAGAGGAATATCATTTTGAGTTTCCAGCTCATACAGTGCACTAGGTACAGTTACCGTGCTCAGAGGGAGTTGTTCCTAGTTCAGCACCATATGATACAGGGGCATTGAAAAGGTGTAGGCCATTCAGCCCATCAAGCTTGTTCTGCCACTTAATGAGATCATGGCTGATCTGTGGCCTAACCCCATATACCTGCCCATATTCCTTAATATCTTGATAACACAGTGTAGAGCTGGAGGAACACAGCAGGCCGGGCAACATCAGAGGAGCTGGAAAGCTGACGTTTTGAGTCGGGCATTTTCTGAAGAAGGGTCCCTACCCGAAACGTCAGCTTTCCTGCTCCTCTGATGCTGCCCGGCCTGCTGTGTTCCTCCAGATCCACGCTGTGTTATCTCAGACGCCAGCATCGGCAGTTCTTACTAGCTCAGATTTAAAACTAACTGCTGATCTAGTGTCAACTGCCATTTGTGGAAGAGAATTCCAAAAATGTACCATCCTTTCTGTATAGAAGTGCTTCCAACCAACTGTCCTGAACTGTCTAGCCTGAATTCACAGACTATGCCCCTAGTTCTAGAAACGCCAACCAGTGAAATTAATTCATCATTGTCAAACCAGTCTTCATGTTAATATGTTTCATGTTGAAGACTTCAATCAGGTCATCCCTTAGCCTACTAAATTCTAGAGAAAATAGGCCTAATTTGTACAATCTCTCCTCATAACGTAACCCATGAACTAAGAATTCTAAAGTGATCAGCTGACAGTAAGGAGGTTGCCTTGAGTAGCCTTCCTGCAGTCCCATACTGTTACGTATTACAGTGAAAGAAGCTTTCATTGCTATTAGCTGAGCACATGGGCCTGTGGATCATAGTTGAGAGAGGTAAGAGCAACTGGTAAATGTGAAGTGCTGCATTTTGGAAAGGCAAATCAGGGCAGGACTTATACACTTAATGGTAAGTTCCTGGGGAGTGTTGCTGAACAAAGAGATGTTGGAGTGCAGGATCATAGTTCCTTGGAAGTGGAGTTGAAGGTAGATAGGGTACTGTAGGTGGCATTTGGTACGCTTGCTTTTATTGGTCAGTGTATTGAATATAGGAGTTGGGAGGTCATGTTGCGGCTGTACAGGACATTGGTTAGGTCACTTTTGAAATACTGCGTGCAATTCTGGTCTCCTTGCGATAGGAAGGATGTTGTGAAACTTGAAAGGGTTCAGAAAAGATTTACAAGGATGTTGCCAGGGTTGGAGTGTTTGAGCTATAGGGAGAGGCTGAATAGGCTGGGGCTATTTTCCCTGGGGTGTTGGAGGCTGAGGGGTGACTTTATAGGTGTTTATTAAATCATGAGGAACATAGATAGGGTGAATAGCCAAGGTCTTTCCTCCAGGGTGGGGGAGCCCAGAACTAGAAGGTGTAGGTTTAAGGTGAGAGGGGAAAGATTTAAAAGGAACCTAAAGGGCAACATTTTCACACAAAGGGTGGCATGTCTACAGAATGACCTACCAGACGAAGTGGTGGAGGTTGGTACAATTACAACATTTCAAAGACATCTGGATGGCTACATGAATAGGAAGGGTTTAGAGGGATACAGGCCAAATGCTGATAAATGGGATGAGTTTAATTTAGAGTATCTGGTTGGCATGGATGAGTTGGACCAAAGGGTCCATTTCCATGCTGTACAGCTGTATAACTCTATGGCTGTTCTAATCAGCCAAGTCGCAGTTGTTATTGTGACCCCTCACTCCTTCCATGTTTCCCTCTTACCAGGAGTGACATCATTTCCTGGATATGCAATGAAACAAAGAAACTGCATGATACCATTTGGAGATAACACAGTGTGGAGTTGGAGGAACACAGCAGGCCAGGCAGCATCAGAGGAGCAGGAAAGTTGACATTTCAGGTTGGGACCCTTCTTCAGAAATGGGGGAGGGGGAAGGGAGCTGGGAAGTAAACAGAGAGGAGGGGTGGGGCTGGGGTAGGTAGGTAGGATTGTGATAGGTGGATGCAGGTAGGGAGTGGTGGGGATTGGTCAGTGAATTGGGTAGGGCGGATAGGTGGGAGAGAAGAAGGTTGTGTCAGGTCAAGGTGGCGGGGATGAGACAGAGATTTGGACTTGATTGGTAAATGGATAAAGGGACACAAAGGAGGAGGTGGTTCAGGAACACATCAGCCATGATCAGCCATGATGGTGGAGCATTAAGCCAAATGGGTTAATTCTGTTCCTATATCTTGTGGTCTATATTGTGTCTTTTGTGTATGTGTTTACATATCTGTCTAAAACCACGTATGTCAGTAAACTTCGCCCTTGGTTTTGCACAATAGAATCCGTGTTCATAATTGGATGCTTCCATGGCTTTTGATGTGAAATGTTAACTGTGAATCTATCATTTAATCAAATCTTCAAATGATGCTGTGTAAAAGGAATCTGATCATGCCTGTGCTAGGACATTGAAGGATGTAATGACTTGTCCCATTCCTCTGCTTTTTCTACCCAGCCCTAAATTTGAGGCTTCATTGCAATTGTCTGGTTGGATCAGACTTGCTGCCTACGAGAGCCTTCAGGCTGGTGTACAGGGTACAGCTCACTACTGTAAACATGTATATGAAAGAAGGACTGGAATTGTTTTTGCGTAGATTGTGTGGCTGGGGTGAAACTATCCAGTTAAAGTCAACGTCGGCATTCAGTGGAGAAATTGTGTTTATCAACTGTCTGAGACATTGTGCAATGCTGTGATTGATTGACATTAGCTGATGGCATTTTCTGACTTATTGCAATGCCACCCCAAAATTAACAATCCTGAGCTATTCCCTCCAATTTGTAATGCCCTAATTTCGTATCTTTTTCAGAGGATCCGTGCCACGGTGAACAGTCAAGAACAGAAGCGGTTGCTGATGGACCTTGATATTTCCATGCGTACTGTAGACTGTCCCTTCACTGTTACCTTCTATGGAGCACTTTTTCGTGAGGTAATTCTCTTGGCCTTGTGTTATTTGTATTTTACTTTGTCTTGGGATATGGGCATTGCTGGCAACCAGTAATTATTACCTGAACCTGATTCAACTGAATGGCTTGCTAGACCATTTCCGAGGGTCATTAAGACTCCCATTTGCTGTGGGTCTGGAGTCACATGGAAGCTGGACCAGATAAGGTCAGTAGATTTCCTTTCCTAAATCTCACACACACACACCCCATTTGGGTGTTTACAACAATCAATAGTGCTTGTCATAGCCACCATTACTGAGACAAGCTGTATCATTCCAGATTTGTTCCATAATTCCGTGGCATTTGAACTCATGTCGCTAGAACAGTAACTTGGCCCTCTGGTTTGCTGCATCACCATCAGCCCAGGGGTTCGGGTATCGGTGAGAGATGTTCCAGTTTTACAAATGACTCAGCTAAAGCTTCTCATTTACACAATATTTCCACTGAAATATAAAGATTGCAACTGAATGTTATTGCTAACTCTTAAACAAATCTGATAATTGCAACAGAAACACTTCTGTTGAAGTCACAGATGAAACTTGAATTCCAGTTGCTGTATTGAGTATTGAGAAAGCCACAAAACTTGAGCCTGTTTCAATAGCAATCCATACCTCTCCCTCTATTTAAATGTCACGACATATTTATTTTGCAACACTAAATATTCTAACTCTTCTCAGTTCCAACATCTCCCGAGTCCTAAGCTTCTCATTTCATTTATAATTGTTTGGTTCTTGAGTTAGAATCAGAGACAGCAGTTTTAATATTTCTCAGTGTCATAGAAATCATAGAAAATTGCAGTACTGGTGGAGGCCATTCTGCTCTAATTTCTGTACTGGTTCTTTGAAAGAGCAGTTTTGCTTAGCCGCATGTCCATTGTCTATGTGTCTGTCCTGGGGGCTTTTAGGATGAACTGTTGGATCATGTCCATTTTTGGTGCCCAACTTGGTAGCCATGTTTGTTGGTGTAATCTGACAGCACATTATTGCTTATATCACATTAGTTACATACTCCCTCATAATTTTTTTGTTATTTTGGAACTGTTGTCATGTGCTTAAAAACCCAAGTCAAGTGATTCCTTGTTAATTTTCAGGCAGACTGAAACTGTATGCCCCATCATTGATCATGTTATTGTTAGGGCACTGTTTTAGTCATGTATTGTACTTGTCTTCAAACAACAGGTTTGATTATATCTTGATATCTTTCCATAAGCCTGGAATTCCTTCCCTTAATCTCATTGACTGTCTGCCTTTCTTTCTTCCTTTGAGACACTCCTTCAAATCTAAGTCCTTGATTAACTGTGTGTTGGGGTCTAACTATGTTTTGTAATTCCTTCTGAGACTACATGAAGATTTTTCTTCCCCATAGGATGGCTGACTTTACAGTTGGGTGGTGTAAAGGAGACCTGCTGAACTGGGAGTGATGTTATACTATGGCCAAGCAACCTGTAGAAATGAGGTGGAACAGAAATTCTGTAGCCAGATTTTCATTCTCTATCTTACCAAGATAGGGCCTTACAAAGCCAAGTTTCAGCTGCAAAGCAAGGTAGAACAGTTAAGGCTTGAAAAAGTCAAGCTTCTACTTGAGATCTAATTAGTGGTTAACTCCAATCTCGCAGACGCCAAAATTTATTGACAATATTGTTTATTTTAGTTCCTTTAGTTTGCTGCAATCTTAATGTGAAACTATTGAGGCATATTTCTTTCCTTTGCAGGGAGATGTGTGGATTTGCATGGAGCTAATGGACACGTCGTTGGACAAATTCTACAAACAAGTGATAGACAAAGGAATGACTATCCCTGAAGATATCTTAGGAAAGATCGCAGTTTCCGTGAGTTAATTTTTACTATTGCTAGCTTTGTCTGTGCCATCTTCCGTTCGCACCCATAGATAAATTTCAGTAACTGATAGGTGAATATCGAAATGTTTAGTTTAAGCAAACTAGGGAGTGAACCATTGATAAATCAGCTCTCATTGAGTAAGTTCGTCATGTCTTTTTGAACCCTCTGCATCGTGACATTTAAATCTGAGGCAATATGGCATTCTCTGCACCAATATAAATCAAGTAAAATTGACCGTAATTTTATTTTTCCACCCAGCTTCATCTTTGTAATAAGTTACTTTTGTCTGCAAACTGAATTTAATCAGCAGTATCCCACAGTTTAAAAGATAAATGATGCTGTTGTATCACTCTTGTAGCTGACTTGTCCTGGGCTTGTTTTGCAGATTGTGAAGGCTTTGGAACATCTTCATAGCAAGCTGTCTGTGATACACAGGGGTATGTGCCAAATAATAATCTTTTTAATTACTGCACTGCTCTGAACAGCCTGCCTGAGTAAGTAACAGGACAAGAATAAAGTGCTAGTAGTTTAATAAAATTGGGCCCAGTTTAAACTTTGTGGATGTGGAGTTAAAAGGTTTGGTGTGATTGTTATCATTGCAGCAACAGTCTTGCTTTACTCCCTTTGAGAGAGCTGGGTACTAATTTTGGCTCTTTCCAAATAATGATGTAATACAGTTTTGTTCTATTCCCTTTTTATCGCATGGCTGTCCAGTCCAGTCTTTCATGCTATATCATTAAAGTATCTTGTGTTAAAGTTCCTTCAGTGAAGATTAAAACAAGCATTGTAAATAATTCACACCCTGCCCATCCCCAACCTGCTCATTCCTCACCTTCAGATATTTAGAAAATGTGGAAAGACATACAGCACAGAAGGAGGACATTCTGCTCATTATTGTCTGCGTTAGCTGTTAAATGAGCCATGAAATCTAATCCCACTTTCTAGCTCTTGAGTTGCATATCCAAACACCTTTTCAATGAGTTGAGAGTTTCCGCCTCTACTACCTTTTCTGGCAGTAAATTCCAAACACTTAACATCCTCTGGGTGAAAAGAATTTACTTTATCTCGCCTCTGGTCCTCCCATCACTCACTTTAAATCTATATCCTCTCCTCTGTGAAGCGAGAGAGATTTGAAAGAAGAGTCGTATCAGGCTTGAAACGTTAGCCCTGTTTCTCCCTCCACAGACGCTGCCAGATCTCCTGGGTTTCTCCACCATTTTTAGTTTTGACTTGTTCTGTTGATGGGTGAGGCCTCTCAGTCAACATCTCAAATCTGCAAAATCAACCCTCCGGCCTCACTGTACACCAGCTTGTGATTTTTTTTTTTCCTAAACACACCAGTTTTAAATTCCGTTTTTGTTGGCAGGTTGCAAGCAATTCACCTGTGAATCTTAAACTGCTGAAATATCTCTAATTCTCTGTACTGAAGACTGTGTTTGAGGTTCAGCAAGGGGCCATTTCTGTTGGAAACTCTTCACGTTTCTCACAGCCTGGCTCAATCTGCTTTGAACAGGCAAAGAAAGGTACTTGCATAACAGCTGTATTTTCTTTCAGATGTGAAGCCATCCAATGTCCTGATTAACGTACAAGGCCAGGTTAAGATGTGTGACTTTGGCATTAGTGGCTACCTTGTAGATTCAGTAGCTAAAACCATGGATGCAGGTTGCAAGCCATACATGGCCGTAAGTACAAGTTCTTACACTTTCCAGCCATGATGTAGAGAGCTAATCAGGGACCAGATTGCGTTAGAGCTGTAGTCCTGTGTGGATAGGCCAGTGGAGTGTTTGTTTTGGGCAGAAGGTGAACCTCGGGCTTGTATATTTGATGCCAGAATTTGAAATTTTGAGTACATTCTTATAAACCTAGCAACATCGAAGGTGGCCGGATTGAGATTAAGAATTTGATGGCCCCTGTGTTCATAAAATGGCTAAGCTGGAATGACCTTTTTCTGCTTTGTGCTCTTAATAATTGTCAGCATAAAGATGTTTGTTCAGATCAGAATTCCAAGTGTCACATTGTGAGATCCAAGGATTTGGTTTGTTTGTCCTCATTGCTGTGCGAAATGTGGGAAGTCTAGATGGGTCACTTAGCCATTGAACAGACTGTGACATACCATATGTATCCATTTTGATGGCAAGAATGAGCTATTCCTCTGTAATGTAGCAGCCCTTTAGTTGCTCTGCCCAGTGATTTCCCTCCTCCCAACCCGGTCTCCGTGAAACCATCTGAACTCCCAGCCTTGAGAATTAAACCTCCTGCTACACTCGCTCACCATTGCACGTGTGATTTTTCCAAGCCCAGGTCACTGGACACCATTCCGAGTGGTTCCGGTCAATCACTTAACCACAGCACGCTCTGGACGAGATCGGTCTGGGGAGGGTGAGAAAATGTCATTCCTAAGCCAGAAATGTAAAACCTGGACGATTTGGAGTTATTACAGTACCACGGGGCAGCACAGTGTTTCAGTGGTTAACACTGCCGTCTCACAGCGCCAGAGACCTGGGTTCGATTCTACCCTCGGCTGACTGTCTGTGTGGAGTTTGCACATTCTCCCTGCGACTGTGTGGGTTTCCTCCGGGTGCTCTGGTTTCCTCCCACAGTTCAAAGCTGTGCAGCTTAGGGTGGATTGGCCATGCTAAATTGACCGTGGTGTTCCAGGAAGTGCAGGTTAGTTGGATTAGCCATCGGAAATGCAGGGTTACGTGGATTGGGTTAGGGGGTGAGTCTGGTGGGATGCTCGTTGGAGGGTTGGTGTGGACTCAACGGACTGAATGGCCTGCTTCCACACTGTAGGGATTCAGTGATTCAATACAGACCCATTGGCCCATCGAGTCTATGCCAGTCATCAAACACCTATTTACTTTAATCCCATTTCCCAGCACCTGCTCATGTAAGCTATGGCATTTCAAGTGTTCATCTAAATACTACTTTAAACGTTGCAATGGTTCTTGCATCCGCCATCCTTACAGGCAGGAAATTCCTGATAACCACGACCCTCTGGGTAAAATAAATTCTCCTTTAGATCCCCTCTAAACCTCACTGAATTTAATTTAATTTCCAAATTTCAGCTTGTGTTAAGGTCTCTCACACTGTGAGCTGCTGTCTGAATGTCAGAGTCATGGCTACTCAACATTTCAAAAGTCCATATCAGTTCATTCTCCAAGCTGCAAATATATGTATTTCTGTGTGTTCTTGATCAATAGCAGCAGTGCCCTGCATTCCCAGCCAGGACACTCGAGTTGAAATAGCTTTTATGACTTTGCTTCCATTGCAAGAGGAGACACACAGTCAGAGGCAAAATCATTGTTGGGATCCTGCCCCACGCTAGCTATTGTACCAACTGAAACTGACACACAAATGCATGGAAGAAATTGCTCTAAGCAGTACGTTTCACAGTTCTCGGAAGTGATCATTCCATTTTTTTAAAAGTTGTTTATGGTAGACGTTTTAAAAAAGCCTGATTTTATATCTGAATATATCAATAAAATCCTATGCAAATTCCGAATTGTACAACAATGGTGTGACAGTGGAATTTCTAGAAACCCTTTGATAGAAGGAGCATACTGAATTACAAGAAATGACGTTAGGCTATCCTACCATCCTTTATCTTTAATCACAGGATATAGTGCGGAGACTTGTTGTCGAACAGTTATTTCTGTCTTTTGCGGTCGGGATGTTGAATGTAATTTCAGGAGGTGACTCTCCTGCTGAACTGTACAACCGTACCTTTTTCTACAGCCAGAGAGAATTAACCCAGAGGTGAATCAGAAGGGCTACAGTGTCAAGTCTGACATCTGGAGTCTGGGAATCACCATGGTAAGTGTTTACCCTGGAGATGATTCAACATCAGAACTGACATTTTATAGTTTTTTTGGATATTTAAAAAAAGAGTGCAACTAATCACTATATCCTGTGATAATAAGTCATTGTCTGAACTCCTGTATGAATTTGCTGTCTTGCTAAGTTATTTTTAAGCTGAAGTGTACAGGCCTACAAAAAATAGACAAAACTAAGAGCAATTCCCATCAGCTCGAGTAAAACCATTCTTGGAAACAAACGGAAACATGAGCACTGTTTGACCTTATTGCAGTGAGCTGAAATGAGGTGTAATGACAAGTACTACTGCATCCTTCTAAACTTTTAAATTTTATTTAGAGTTGCCAGTTTAAAGAATTTTGGCTTACTGTTACATTCAGATTGTTCATTTGCCCCACTAAGCTTTGACATTGACAGGGGATTGCTGCGTGATCTTGCTTTTCCATCACTGCATTTATGGAGATCAAAGAATAGAAAGATGCAAATGGTTTTCATTTCAGAGCTTTTTCAAAGCCTCTTTGTTTCGGCCTGTGTTGATGGAGATAGCATTGTATTCGTAACTGGCAATGGCCATTGACCACACACAAAACATTGGGGTGGAATTGTTGTACAGTCACAGGTCAACACAATCTAGGTAAATCAGGTGAATCAGCAAAAGCCCGTGAACTTTCAAAATAATTACTCCAAATGAACCTTTGCTCATGTTTTCTTCAATGTATTACATCAGTGAAGATTCAAATGCGTCTGAATAACTCACACCCACTCAACTGACCACATTCCCAAATTGGAATTGCAAGATTCTGCTAATGTGCATGTTTGAGATAATCTTTTGAATCATTTTCTTAAGCCGATAATAGTCACATTTGGAGCCTAACAAAAAGCATAATTACGAAAATGACCAGTGTACACAAATAAAACCATTAAATGGTTCAATATGATTTTTTTTCAAGTCCTTTTCAGGAGCATTGTTCATCTTTAAGGTTATTTCTTACCAGTAATAAAACCATTTTGCATGTATTAATACCAATGCAGCATATCAAATATCCCACTCAAATAAATCAAGGATCACTCTCCTTTACTGAAAGAAAAGGACACAAACAATTGAACAGTGTAAAACATAATTATGTTGGTTCCTTGAAGAGTTTCCTGTTGAGATTATGCAATTGAATTTATTGGAAACTGTAACTGAGCAATTTTATTATGTGCATTTTGAGTGTAATTTCCTGATATCAGAAATGACCCCATTGCATTTGTTTAGCTTGCAGCTGATGATAGTCAATTATTCATAATTCTGATGTTTGAGTGCTTTTATGCCGAAACTGTTAATTAACAGAATTGTGTAAACCTGAGAGAGAAAACACCCAGAAAGTGGTGGAGAAATTCAGCTAAACTGTGGAGAGAGAAACAGAGTTAATATTTAGACTCTGATATGCTCTAACGAAGAGTTACACTGGACTGAAAACATTAATTCTCTTTTCCTCATCACAGATGCTGCCAGACTTGCTGAGTGTCTTGCACATGTTCTGTTTTTATTTGAGATGTCCAGCATCTATAATGTTTTGCTTTTCTGTAAATCTGAGGTACCGTTTATTAAAGCGATTGTTAAAATGCACAGAGATAGTAGGAACTGCAGATGCTGGAAAATCTGAGATAACAAGGTGTAGAGCTGGATGAACACAGCAGGCCAAGCAGCTTGCCTGCTGTGTTCATCCAGCTCTACACCTTGTTATCTCTGTTAAAATGCACAGACAGGGTGTAATTCCTGTCTTCTCCCAATGTAAAGCTCAGAAGCCTGAATCTCCTGATGAGGTGCACTCTGTCTTGGTAATGCCAGTCTCCCTTGGTAGACTTGGCTGTATGTGGGCCATTGATGCCATGGCCTTCGCTCTGCAAATGTTCACTGGACTGGGGATGGAAATATTTTGGGATTGGCTTTGAGGAGTCTGCTTCTAAAAGAAAAAGGGCCAGCCATACTTTCTGTTGGAAATCTATTTGATTCTAAGCTGAAATCTGAAAGAGTTTGCATTTGTGGAGAGAATAGTGTTTGAAACGCCTGCACTGGAAAAATCAGCAGACCCAGCTCTTTGCCTTTCCTTAAACCTACCTTCACTGACTAACTGCAAATGTGGTCATGCGCATTTTGAAAATATCCCTAAACACACTACCTATTTCAACAAGAAATTGGTTAAAACCTGTTGAGCCAGCAATCTATATTTTTAACCAGCTCTGGGTCACTGGGCAAGGTTGGCATTTATCACCCACTTATGTTTCCTCTCAGCAAGGCAGTGGCGAGTGCTATCTTGAGCTGCAGACTTGCATGATGGTGCTCACAGGAAGCTGTTAAGTGAAGATCTCCAGGATTTTGTCCTGGCAAAATTAAAGGTGGGAATATTATGTAAGGAATGTTTTTGTTACAGTACCACTTTCCCTCTGTCTAGTACTTGAGATGTTGTTAGTCTGTCTCGTACTTGAGATTATGTTATTTCTGAATAATTTTACCTGAATCAGCCCATAGCAGTGTGAGGACTGGTGCTTGTACTCACCACAGTTTACCTTAAGGACATTAATGCTGCCCATATGTATATTCTGTTTAGATTGAGATGGCGATCTTAAGATTCCCATATGATTCGTGGGGCACGCCTTTCCAGCAGCTGAAACAGGTGGTGGAAGAGCCTTCTCCTCAGCTTCCTGCTGACAGATTCTCCAAAGAGTTTGTCGACTTCAGTGCCAAGTGGTAAGAGGATTCGTGGGCTGGAAAAGTTAATCTTCTTCTTCTGTTCTTGAATTCTCAGAGTTTCAAAATTCTTGCTGCTCCTCCTCTTTAGACATTAAGAGGTGCAATTGTTTCGGTCTTAGACTTTAGCAGTCGGTATATTGTTTGTTACAATTTTAGAACTGTAGGAACAGTTTGATTGCAGATATTTTTTCAATACCATCAAGATTCTAGGAAATGAGAATTAACTCTCACTGGGAGTAACTGATAATGTTTTATTCTATCACATGTCGTGGGTGGCACTGACCAGGACAGCATTTGTTTGCCCTTTAGAAGGTTGTGGTGAGCCATCTCCTTGACCTGCTGCCATCAATGTAGTGTAGTGACGCTCACCATACTATTAGGAAGGAAGGGAGTTCCAGGATTTGATTCCAGCAACTGTGAAGGAATAGCAATATAGTTCCAAGCCAGGACAATGTGTATCTGGAGGGGAAGTTGCAAGTGGTGGTGATCTGTTGTTTCTCTTGCCCTTGTCCTTCTGTGTAGTAGAGATTATGGGTTTGGAAGGTGTTTTCAAAGGAGTGTTGGTTATTTTTGTTACAGCACATCTTGTAGATGATGCTGCTGCCAAAGTGCAACGGTGATAAAGGAATGTTGAAAGTGGTGGATGGGGTGCTCATTAAGTGGACTGCTTTGCTGTGTTGGTGTCGTGTTTCTGGAATGTTGTTGGAGATGCAGTCATCCAGGCAAGTAGGGAGTATTCCATCCTAATATGTGCTTTGCAGGCAGTCTTTTGGGAGTTAGCTAAGTTACTTGCTTCAGAGTTCCAAGCCTTTGACCTGCTCAGTAGATGCAGTATCTAAATGGTTAGTCCTGTGCAGTTTTGGGTCAATGGTAACCTCTAAGTATGCAGACAGTGGGAAATTCAGGGATGGTAATACCGTTGAATATCAAATGGAGATAGTTGGATCCTCTGACAACACAGTTTGGAGCTGGAGGAGCACAGCAGGCCAGGCAGCATCAGAGGAGCAGGAAAGTTGATGTTTTGGGTCAGGACCCTTCTTCAGAAATGGGGAGGGGCAAGGAAGCTGGGAAATAAATAGAGAGAGGAAGGGTGGGGCTGGGGAATGTAGATGGGATGGTTATAGGTGAATGCGGATAGGGAGTGGTCGGGATCGGTCAGTGAGGTGGGTGGGGCGGATAGATGGGAGAGAAGGAGGCCAGGTTGTGTCAGGTCAAGGAGGCGAGGATGAGAGGGAGGGTTGGACATGGGATGAGGCATGTGCAACCCTCCCTCTCATCCCTGCCTCCTCCTCTCCCACCTATCCACCCCTCCCACCTCACTGACCAATCCCGACCACCACCTACCTACCGTCACCTATCATCATCCCACTTACATTCCCCACCCCACCCCTCCTCTCTCTATTTATTTCCCAGCTTCCTTCCCCCTCCCCATTTCTGAAGAAGGGTCCCGACCCAAGACATCAACTTTCCTGCTCCTCTGATGCTGCCCGGCCTGCTGTGCTCCTCCAGCTCCACACTGTGTTATCCCTGACTCCAGCATTGGCAGTTCTTGCTGTCTTTGGTTGGATTCTCTCTTGTTTGAGATGGTCATTGATCGGCACTTGTGTGGCGCGAATGTTACATGCCGTTTATCAGTATAAGTCTGAATGTTGTCCAAGTCCTCCTCTTTATAGACACAGAATGCTTCAGTATCTGAGGAGGTGTGAATGGCACTGAACATTGATGATTTGACAATGATCAATCCTTCTCTGACCTTATCATGGAGGGGAGGTATGGATAGCTTCTGTGAAGTGGTCCAATACTTAATACCATGGATTTGTATTGTGTCCACCATGGCTGGAAGATGAAACATTGATCCTAGGAAACCATCCAAAATCTCAGTGAATGTAAACAATCCTATGGCACTATTTGAAACAGCCCTCATGCTTGCCCCAGGATCCTAATCAAATACACTTCTAAGCTAGCATCATGAAAACAGATCATTAGCAGTCACTGTTTCCTGCATTATAGTAGTTCTGAAGTACTTCATTGACAGTAAAGTGCTTTGGGACATCCTGAGACTGTCCTCCTTTCCTATCTTTTGTTCCCTTGTGAAGCACTTTATTGCCTTTCATCTTTCATGAGATGTGGGTGTCACTGGCTAGGTCAGCTTTTACGGCCCATCCCTAACTGCCTAGAGAACAATTAAGAGTCACCCATAATGTTGTGGCATTCGATGCAGGCCAGACCAGGTAAGGATGGCAGACTTCCTTCCCTGAGGGACATTACTGAAACAGATGAGTTTTTATGACTAAGAACAATGGCTACATGGTTGCCATGACACCAGCTTTTATTTAATTCCAGATTTTTATTGAATTCTATTCCACCAGCTGCCATGGTGGAATTCAAACTCATGTCCCCAGAAAATTACTCTAAGGCTTGGGATTACTAGTCCAATGACACTACCACCATAACATTACTCCCTGACATGTACATTTAAACTAATTTATAGCCAAATGTAGCCACTTAATTCCTCTTTGGGGATTGATGCAGGAAGAAATGTTGACCAAAACAGGAGTAAATAAATTTTTGAATCAGAGATAGTAGGAACTGCAGATGCTGGAGAATCTGAGACAACAAGGTGCAGGGCTGGATGAACACAGCCGGCCAAGCAGCATCATAGGAGCAGAAAGGCTGACGTTTCGGGCCTAGACCCGTTTTTGCTCCTCTTTCAAATGATGTCAGAGGCTTTCGCGTTCACTTCAGTGCCATAATTGGCCAATGTGGTCTCGGTTTAATGTCTAAACTGAAAAATGGTTCATCCAATAATCCTACTGGCTCAACACATACTAAGATAGACTGAGATACAGCTTGTACATAATCCCTTAAAGCTTTTAAGAGAAATGATTCGATGACCAGGAGTTTGGCTGGTATTGGCAGAGGCCATTGGATGTTTTAAAGGAAAATTGGGTAACGATTTGACGTAGGAGAAAATATATCACACTGGGATTAGTCTTATTTGGACTCAGTGCCCTTGTTCTGTGCTGATGCGTCCTTGTTCCAGTGGGACAAGCCTTCTAATATTATAAAATGTAGCATGTTCTCTGCAGTTGTGGTTTGGAGGTATCTTTTGTCATGTAGGAGGGGTTTGTGGGATTTTTCATATTTCTCAGAAGGGCAACAAATTTGGCAAGTTACCTCTGTTTTCGGGAGGATTTGTTTTGTAAAGATCTCCTTTCACTTGCATATAAACATAGATATGAAAGACATTGAGATGTTCTGGCGATTAATTGAGTGATGTATGTTATGTATTTCAAGTATGGGTTATAACGCATTCGTTAAATTCAAGCCACCTATTTTGACAAGTTGATCTCTGGAATAAAGTTGAAAATAGCAACTTTAAGTGTGGCCTTTTAAGCTAGCAACAGAAAATATAATCCCTTCCTTAACGTTTGTCTGTATCTAATTCTTCTACCAAATACTTCCTCCATAGAGCATTCAAAATATCGTTTCGGTAGCCGTCTTAGATTGATTTAATTGCAGGAAGTCTGTCTCTGTTTTTAGAAATTAAATTCCTGCATGAGCTTCTTTTAAGGGATTGATGCAGTGCTTCCTCTGCAACCTTAGTCACTAATTTTGATCTCAAATGTGCTTTTTTTTTAATCAAATTATATTTTCAGAACAACACTCGGCTCATAGGAAATACCAGGACATAGCACTGAGACTGACCTGATCGGATTATAGGCATGCTCCATCTCAATTGGTGCCCCAACGTAAACCTTTCCAAGCCTTTAATAGAATACAGCAAAATATTGCTGAGCCAATGAAAACAGGATAAGGTGGGGTGGATATAGCCCTTCGTAATACTGAGAATTCCAAATGGTCAAATGTAACATTGCGCTCAGTGTGAGAAATTAATAAGAACATAAGAAACAGGAGCAGGAGTAAGCCATTTAGCTCCTTGATCCTGCTCCATCATTCAATAAGATCACGGCTGATCTTTTCGTGGACTCAACTCCACTTACCTGCCCGCTCACCATAACCCTTAATTCCTTTACTTTTCAAAAATCTATCGATCTTTGCCTTAAAAACATTCAATGAGGAAGCCTCAACTGCTTCACTGGGCAGGGAATTCCACAGATTCACAACCCTTTGGGTGAAGAAGTTCCTCCTCAGCTCAGTCCTAAATCTGCTCCCCCTAATTGTGAGGCTATGCCCCCTAGTTCTAGTTTCACCTACTAGTGGAAATAACCTCCCCTACCTCTATCCTATTTATTCTCTTCATAATTTTATATGTTTCCATAAGATCCTCCCTTCATTCTTCTAAATTCCAATGAGTATAGTCCCAGTATACTCATTTTCTCCACAGCCAACCCTTCTCAACTCTCAACCCCCTCCAGTTCCATTACATCCTTTCTCGAGTAAACTTTTAAAATGGGAGAGAATGATATGAGACGTAGGGTGATCTAATAGTGGTCTGAGTGACATGGGCCATGGCAAGTTTCATGTCAGAATTTGGTGAAATATCTGGCAAAGCCCATCATGACATCAGGAGCATTTCACTCCATCTTTTATGCTTTTGACAAGTGGCACAGTGAGTTTCTTACCAGGCAGTGGTGAGTTGCTCATTATGGGGGATTGTTGCTTGTTAAACGCCTTATTAATGCCGCAACTGACCTCAAATATTCTGCTTCTTATCTTACCGAATTCAACAAACAAGCGAGATTTCGCGAAAGCTCACTATGGGAATCAGACATTCGACAAGGCACCTCAAAGAAAGTTAAGTCATAAGATAAGAGCCCATGGTGTTGGAGATACTACTTTGACCTGGATATAGGATTGGCTAACAGGCAAGAAGCAACAAGTGGGGAGAAAGGTAACTTTTTCAGGTTGGTAATCTGTAACCAGTGGGTTCCACAGGGATCAGTGCTGGGACTGTAGTTGTTTACAATATATATTTAATGACTTGGAGGAAGGAAGCAAATGTACTGTAGCCAAATTTGCAGACAACACAAAAATAAATGAAAGGCAAGATGCAAGAGGGATACATACATCTTACACTAGGCGATGGCCTAGTGGTATTATCGCTGGACTGTTAATCCAGAGACCCAGATAATGTTCTGGGAACCTGGGTTCAAATCCCGCCACGGCAGATGGTGGAATTTGAATTCAATAAATTTCGGAATTAAGAATCTAATGATGACCATGAATCCATTGCCGATTGTCAGAAAAACCCAACTGGTTCACTAATGTCCTTTAGGGAAGGAAACTGCCATCCTTAACTGGTCTTGGCCTACATGTGACTCCAGACCCACAGCAATGTGGTTGACTCTTAACTGCCCTCTGGGCAATTAGGAATGGGCAATAAATGCTGCCTAGGCAGAGATGCCCTCATCCTGTTAATGAATAAAGGACGTAGACACATTGATAGCTTAAGTAAGTGGGCAAAAAGTTGTCAAATGGAGTACAGTTTCCCACTCCATGTGGGAAATGTGAAGTTATTCATTTTGGAAGGGAGAATTAAAGAATAGATTATTATTTAAATGGAGAAAAGCTGCAGAAAGCTACAACACAAAGTGACTTGGGTATGTACTTGTACACAAAACAGAGGTGCAACCCATAATCAGGAAGGCTAATGGAATGTTGGCCCTTACTTCAAAGGGGTTGTAATATAAGAGTAAAGAAGTCATTGCATCTGTACAGGGTGCTGATGGGACCACATCTGGAGTACTGTGAGCACTTTCAGTCCCCTTATTTAAGGAAAGATATTTCATTGGAGCCTGTTCAGAGATTTACTTGGATGATTCCTGGTATGGAGGGGTTGTCTTATGATCAAGGATTAAACAGATTGGGAATCTACTCACTGGAGTTTAGAAGAATGACAGGTGATCACATTGAAACCTACAGAACTTGACAGCATAAATGCTGAGAGGGCGTTTCCCTCATGGGAGCATCTAGGACCAGAAGGCATTGTCTCAGAATAAAGGGGTGTCAATTTAAGATTGAGCTGAGGAGAAATTCCTTCTATCAGAGGATTGAGAGTCTTTGGAACTCCTTGCAACAGAGAACCTTGGGGGCAGAATCCTTGTATATATTTAAGGCTGAGATAGATTCTCGATTAGGAGGAGAAATTGAGAGTTACAGGGAAAAGGCAGGAAAGTGGATGTGAGGAACATCAGATCAGCCATGATTCTATTGAATGGTGTAGCAAGCTTGAGGGGCCAAATGGCCGCCACCTGTTCCTGTTTCTCATGGTGTTATGGGTAACTGGTGACTTCAGCTTGCCACTTGCTCCAAAAGGTCTCCTTTGTTGGATTCTGGGCACCAGTAGTTCAGGGTCTGCTTTATTTGGTTGGGGTTGGTGACAGCAAGCGAGGGTAGATTTTGCAGGCATCAGTGGGAGTGACAAAGCAGGAGTCTTTGGGGGAGGTAAGTTTAGCAGCAGAGATAGAGCGACAATGAAAACTGCAGAGAGGATGGTGGCATTTACAGTAATAGAGTCATAGAGATATACAGCACGGAAACAGACCGTTTGGTCCAACTCGTCTGTGCTGACCAGATATCCTAAATAAATCTAGTCCCATTTGCCAGCGTTTGGCCCATATGCCTCTTAAACCCTTCCTATTCATGTACCCATCCAGATGCCTTTTAAATGTTGTAATTGTACCAGCCTCCACCACTTCCTCTGGCAGTTTATTTCATACACGCATCACCCTCTGCCCGAAAAATTGCCCCTCAGGTCTCTCTTAAATCTTTCCCCTCTCACCTTAAAGGTCTGCCGTCTAGTTTTGGATTCAGCTACCCTGGTGGGAAAAAAAGACCTTAGCTACCCTACCAGTCCGTGCTCCCCTGTAAGGTCACCCTTCAGCCTCCGACACTCCAGGGGAAAGAATGCCCCAGCCTATTCAACTTTTCCATATAGCTCAAACCCTCCAAACCTGGCAATCTTTTAAATTTTTTCTGAACTATAGCAGGGAGACCAGAATTCAATTTGGTATTCTAAAAAGTGGCCTAACCAATGTCCTGTCCAGCTGCAACATCATCTCCCAACTCCTATACTCCGTGCACTGACCTATGAAGGCAAAACTACCCTGTCTACCTGCAGCTCCACTTTCAAGGACTTGTGCAATTGCACCCCTGGGTCCCTTTGTTCAGCAACACTCCCCAGGGTGTGTATAAGTCCTGCCCTGATTTGCCTTACAAAAATGCAACTGTTGAAGTAGAAGGTGCTCTGTTCAATCCCTTTGGGTGTAAACTAGATGGCCTAGTGGACAATGAAATTCCTTTGCCACAGTTTTGCCCTTTCACCTAATCTGTCAATATCTTTATAGTTTCGTACTTCAATTTACTCCACTTAAAATGCTGTCTATCTTTGTGTCATTGACAATTTTGGCTAAGTGGCTTTCTATTACATCATCGAGGTTATTAATAAGTATTGCGAATTAAAAAAGTTCCCAAACATTAGAGAATGAGGTTCTGATCTTTTTTAACAGACTTCAACATGCAGTTTGCAGCATATGGTGATCTAAGAAAAATTACTCACAACACATCATCCAACAAATGTGGCAGGATGAAACTTCCCCATTTTCACTAAAATGATGAGCTCCCGATTGTTTGGAAAAAGTCTTCAAATAGGATCCGGGAATCGGTGCTGAGCCTTTATTGATATTCCAGGAGGGATTTCAGGATCACTGTTTCTCTTAAAGTTCGATCACTGGGTCAAAATCCTGGAATTGCCTCCCTAAGGGCATTGTGAGTCAACCACAGCAGGTGGACTGCAGCAGTTCGAGAAGCCCCCTCACAAAGCTTAGTACCACCTTCTCAAGGGCAACTCGGAACAGGCAATAAATGCTGGTCCAGGCAGTGATGCCCACATCCCACAAAAACAAACTTTAATAAGCCAAATATCCCAATCCTTAACCTAAGACACAAGAGATGTCATCAGATGTTCACATTTGACAAAACCTCTTCCTGATTAAAATCATGCAATCTTTGCCATGTATGTCTTTTCAAAATTACCGAGCATGCTTTTGTAGTTATTTGACTAGTGCAATATATTGGCCAAAAGAGATTGGGGTAAAATGGGTAATTCAAGTAGCTGATTGATATTGTCTGTGGAAAGAAGTGGTTTGATAAATCAAATGACAGTTTGTTCTTCTGTCTTGTAGGTTTTTACCTCTGTTATAAACACAAGTTTCCCAATGTTTGCAAGGAGGTTAGGGGATTCATGGTAGCTAGTTGAAACCTAGAAATCCTGGGGATGCAAAGATCCTGTCAAATTTGAAGGGGGCATCTTATTATCATTTTCTTCTTCCATTTCCTGCCTGACAGTTGCCAGGGTTCACAGGCCGCCTTGATACCAGATGAGAAGACTTAAAGACAAGTGGCTACAGCAGGGACTTTGTGGGCATTGCTTTGGGATTGGGTGAGATTGAGGCTTGATGGATCCCAGAGCCTGGAAATGTGGAAGGAAGGGAAATAAACATCTGGGCATGTGACTGGAGTTTGGTAGGTGATTGTGAGCAATAGAATGGGGCTTGGTTGGGTGAATCTGGAATTGGAAGACAGTGAACTTATTGATCACAACAGAGAAGAGAGGCTGCAAATCAATTATTAATGAATGGTGAAAAGACATTAATTGCTAACTCTGTTTCTCTTTACACAGACAATACACTGCTGCGCACTTCCAACTTTTTCAGTTGATATTAACATTTGCAGTCTTCATGTGCTGCATTTAATTATGAACAACTGACTGACTTCACCTTTGTGTGGTTTAATATCAAAACTAGGAAGTCTGAAAATCAATTTGTAAATGCTAACTAAAACAGAAAAGACATTATAAAATGTAACCAAAATCCCATTGGAACTTTTCTTGATGATTGTAGCAAACTCAAAGTTTGATATTTATTAATTTGCTCAGTCTTCCCCCATCCTGATATCCAAGCTCATCCTTTCACTATCACTCAGAGACACTTAGTGCCACACACTGTATCATGTCCCTTCACGCTCCCACTTCCAGTAGATCACAGAAAATGCCAGGTTGCAGAGACCTGGAAAGTGAAGTGGTGTTTCTGATGTAAACAGAAAATGCTGGAAATGTTCAACTGGCTTGATTTCATCTGTGGAGAGAAGAGGAGTTAACATTTCAGACTGATGACCGTCTCATCAGGACTGGTGTCCAACTTCAGTGGTGAATGAGTTAAAAGTGTTCCGAGCTTTCTGTAAATAAACTCTTGTTCAGCGGAGTTTGGCTGACACTCAACCAGAAAGTGCCTTGATGCAGTGGGGATGCCAGCTTGCAGTTCTGTGTACATTGTTCTGAAAGGAAGTGAGGTACATCGGAATATTAGACCTATATCCTAGCTGGAAATAACATGGATATGAATGAAAAACCTTGCGTTTTGTCAGTATTGTGCCCTTCATAATTCTGAAATGAATTGAGCAACTCGAGCAACTGAAAATCTCCAGCTCCACCTTTGAAGCTGTAGAGAATATTAAAACCTGAATGGATTCTTCTGCATGATTTTTAAAATGTTTTCGAATTGGTGTTTTACCAGTGCATGGAATTTTTGCTGACGTTTTATTGACTCACTTGAACAATTAAACAAAAGCGTGACCTCTAATGACATTGGTTGCATGCTATTCATCAACTCCTGACTGACCTATTGGGAAATTCATTCAAATCCTTGGAAGAAGAAGAGCTAAATACTTGTGTTGAGCGACAAAATGAAAATAGTGATTAGCTAATTAGCAGACTGCCCACAAGAGATGGTGCCTAGCAATACTCAATAATAATTCAGAATTGCATTTTTTATAAGCCGTGTTTGAGCTCAGCTGACTGCAGCGATGTGTTTCTGAGATTTATGTTGCTCAATAAATAAGAGAACACAAAATATGTTTTTTTTAAAAGCAATGTCATACTTTCAAACCACAGTGCTCAAGATCTCCTACATATAATAGCTAAGGTCATCTGTATGGTTTAATCACACAGAGCAACATGTATACAAAATGAACAACTCTTCATCATCTATTGCAAAATGGGCGTTGACATTTTTTTGAAAATTTTTTAGGTTATAAAGACAAATTCTTCCAGTGCTTCAAGCTGCTCATTTGATCTAACAATTTAAAAAAAAATCAAGATATCATGAACCTCAACTATTCCCAGTGGACCAAATCCAAAGCAAATAATCCGTTAGTCTTTTACTGGAAAAATAGTTTCTGAAAATAAAGTCCTCCTGCAATACGTTTTCCATAGCAATCTCAAAGCACCAGTGGGTCTGAGTCAGAGAAGCATTTCACTGATGGGTGTGCTGAAGACCATTTGAGGGTAAAGGTCTTGACGAACTGTCTGTGTTATGGATGGGCTCTGCAACTTTATAAATGCATGTGGCATTTAAACCTTTACAGAGATGGGCTATGACCAGTGAATGTACACGATTGGTGACCTATGGCCTGTCCGTTTTACTTAGTACATTGGAGCCGGCGGAATGCCTAAAGCTTTATATAAAACTGAAATATTGCAGATGCTGGAAATCTGAAATACAAACATAAAGTGCGGGAGAAACCCAACCGTTCCAGCAGCATTTGCGCAGAGAGTGACACATTTAATGTTTTGAATTCAATTTGACTACTTGTCAGAATTGAAAGGGGATGGAAAATTGTGCTTTTTATGCAATGGATAGAGGAAGAGGAGGAGGAGAGGGTGGAACAGGTGATGAGCAGCAAAAGACTAAGGAAGTACTAATGATGGTAAAGGAGTGATAGAGATGTAAAATAGGTGTAAATGATAGGAGTGAAAAGGAGAAAATGGGCCCAATCGGCTGAGAGAAAAACCAAGAAGACACAAACAAGACTTGGCCGGTGAGGTGGATTGGGGGTTTAATGTTGGTTGACATTGCTATGGCAGGCCTGAACTTGAAAAAAAAATGTTGTCCGGTTACTGCTAATGTGGCAGGTCCTGACTGCCAGAGCATTAGCATGGTGTGGCATGTATGTAGCAGAAACATGAGGAGTCATTGGTTATAATGTTAACCAGCCTCAATCACTGGTACAAAAATACTGCATCTGCTGAAAGTCTGAAACATAAGCAGAAAATACTCAGCAGACCTAAGAGCATCTACGCAGTGAGAAATAGTTTATGGGCAGAATATTCCCAGCCCCTGAATGATAAAGGCCATGGCAAAAATTTAGGAAAATTGGGTAAGATCTCCAGTGAAGCCCTCATCATTGAATGCAAAAAGTCCCGATTTCCAACCAAGTGTTGAATGATGAGATTCTCATTATTGAGAGGCAAGAAGCCTATTTTCATGGATTATCACTCATCATTATTTGATCTCACCTCATTAGTATGCAGTTCCCATTCTGCCAGTTGCTGCTTAGAAACTAGATGCTGTGAATTCTCAACATGAAAGTCAGAGTGGTTACCTGGCAACTCCCAACTTGCTGCTGGCTCCTCTGACTTCCATCTTAGAGTCACAGAGATCTAAAGCACAAAGAAAGGCCATTCAACCCATCAAGTTTGTCCTGGTCAAGAGCACGCAGCTAATTATTCTAATCCCATTTACCCCCATTAACCTTGAATACCTTGGCATTGCAAGTGCACATCCAAATGTTTCTTCAATGTTATGCGAGTTTCTGCCTCTACCATCTTTTCAAGAAGTGAGTTCCAGATTCCCATCACCTTCTAGTGGGGAAAAAAAAGTCTCTTCTCCCCTCTAAACCTCCTGCCCCTTACCTTTATATCAACATCCCCACTCATTCATCAATTCATCAAGGGAAAAAGTTCCTTCTTGTTCACCATGTTTATGCCCCTCATAACTTTATATATTCCAGTCATGACGCCGCTCTGTTCCAAAGAAAACAATCCCAGTCTATCCAAATAAAAACTGAAAGAACTGCGGATGCTATAAGTCAGGGACAAAAACAAAGTTGCTGGAAAAGCTCAGATCTTAGGAAGGGTCACCAGACCCGAAACGTTAACTGTGATTTTTTTTTCTTTACAGATGCTGGCAGACCTGCTGAGCTTTTCCAGCAACTCTGTTTTTGTCCCATTCTATCCAATCTCTCTTCATAACTAAAACTCTCCAGCCCAGGTAACATCTCAGCAAATCTCCTCTGCACCCTCTCTTGGATGCCAGTCGCCAGTGTCTCACGGCACACTCCATGGACAATGACCTCACACATATCCCATCCATGGACCTTGGCATCCAGCCTCATTGCATCGTCTCCACATTCCCATCCACTTAGAATGCACATCTGCAATTCAAAGCTGCACTTGGAGCACACTGGCACCTCTGTCTGCAGTGCTCCTTGTGGCTTCCTGTGCCAGTCCTGGGAGAAGAGAATGGCTTTCCTCTGCACCAATCTATCTACCAGGACCTCCAGATCTGTGAAGCAGGGTGCCAATTTCCCTTTCTGTGTCACGTCTGAGGCAAACTCTGCACGGCAGCTCCTGAACAGCGATTTCTAGCACTTGATTGGGTGCACACATCCTTTTAAATATGGTGCCAGCGTCAGGAATCCTGGGATGTGCCAGCATTGATGAGT